AAATAATCTTTGTGTCGTTAAATGCTCTTGCCTAACTAACTATAGGCTAGTCTCAGTGTTCTGATAATGTTTTAGGTAGGCTAGGCTAAGCTATGATGTTTGGTAGGTTAGGTGTATTAAATATATTTTTTACTTATGCATTTTCAACTTAAGCTGGGTTTATTGGGATGTAACCCCATTGTAAGTTGACAACATTTATTCTATGAATGGTGTATAAAATATTACTTTCATACAGTGTGAAAACTAGAATAATTATGATGCCTATGTTTTTTTTGGGGGGAGAATTGTTTAAATTTTGTTTGTTTGTTTGTCCTCAACAGTCAACGACAACACAAACAGCAGAGTGGTCCTTTGGTCCTTCTTTGAAGCTCTTGTTCTAGTTGCCATGACATTGGGACAGATCTACTACCTGAAGAGATTTTTTGAAGTCCGGAGGGTTGTTTAAAAAGCCTCTTCCTGATGATCCCAAACTCAGAATTCACTGTTTACCAAACACCTTGGTCACAATAATGTCATTAGTTTCTCCATTTTTATTTTCTGAACTATACATTCACAACTTATGTTTCCTTGTGATTAATAGATATTGGGGGAAAAACACCTTTTTAGGAAAGTTACAGTGCAAACTTGACAGTTGATTGGCATAATTTCTTATTTGAATGCTGCCTCCATTATATAGGTCCTTCCAGGAACTCAAACACTGTAAGTGAAATATAGGCGTATAGTTTTTGTTTTTATTATTTCTTTTTTCCTTTTGTATTCATAATTAAATGCAGTTTGTTCAGGAAATCGGCACAAAGCCTGATAGTACTTTACTAAAATGACTGCATTCTTTAGCTTCCCTTATTTTGTAGTTCAAGTCACTAACAATTTATTTTTGTTGAGTCCTTATGAGAAACAATAGTATGAATCTTGACGGTTTCTACCCATCCTAATGGCAGAGCTCTCTGACTTGGGCATATACTGCCAGGCTGGGTACTTTTATACTTTGTTTTCTTGTTCTGCTTTAAAGCTACAACTCAGCATCCATTTTCCCCCATACATTTTTACATTGAATCTTAGGACTCAATCACCTGCACTTAAATTGATGACACAAGCAGCTGATAACCATTTTTGGGTTTCTGCCTAAACTTCTAATTGTCTGTTAAAGCCAGTTCTCTGGCATCCCAGTGAATGGTGGCTCTTTTTCTTTCCACACTGGCACATCCATTTCTCTTACTCTTGGCACGTAGGAAATATGCATTTACATAATTGGAAAAATCTGGATTTCTGATGCCAAAGGGCTAAAGCCTCTTGGATTTCATTGCGGTGATATACAGCCACTATTTTATTTTTGATCAGTGGCCTTTGGGCCACTGGGCCACTGTTTAACTAGGGCACTGAACATCAGTGTCAGCACTAGGGTTTTTGTTTGTTTCTCTTGGGTCTTTCTTTTTGGCACATGTGAATTTTGTGTAAAGTGAAATGACTTTCTCTTGTTCTCTAATGATGGGTTTAAAATTAAGAGCATCTGGTTTTGGTATGGGGATGATCCAGGATTATGTTGTGACTGATACATATTAGTTACTTGTACATTTTTTTTTTTTTTAATCTTTGCAAGGGGAAAACTACAAGTAACGAGTTTTATATAATTAATTTAAATTTGTTACAGGTTTTCATGTTCAGGATAAACAATTTTTCAACCTTGGGTGAGAACACTTGCAACAGTTTATTGATAAGGTGACTTTCACCTTTGGACAACTGTTGCATGCCAATTTTTTTTTGTGCGTGAAACACTTCAAAATTGATTTAAAAAATGTAAATTTAAAATTGGTTGTATCTAATATGCCCCAGGTTCGGTAAATAAACAATTCTTTTTAAATCAGTCAGTATTCTGTGTTTTATATATTGGCAGTTAATTCACATTTTTTACACACCAACTTTCTGTTCTTATTTGACATGAGACGTGTCCATGTTTTTTGAGTATTTGTGCCTATTACTTTTTAATTCTATAAACTTGAGGATAGTGAATGGTACCAAATTTTAGTTTCTGCACGTTTTCCTGTGTGGCTTCTCTGGTGGATCACTGCTAAAATCTCAAGTATTTTTCTATTTGGGAAAAAAGAAAGGGTTGAATTATTTTCATTCACCTGCAAGGTTTATGGATATGGGAAATAGGTTAAAAGACAGATTAAATGATTTGCCCAAGGCTACAGATAACAGCAAAAGGTGAACCGGAGACTAGATCTCCACCTGTAGAAACTGTTATTCCTCTGTGAACTAACAGCCTGCTGGTAATAAAAGTAGCTACCGGCTGGGTGCAGTGGCTTACGCCTGTAATCCCAGCACTTTGGGAGGCCGAGGCAGGCAGATCATGAGGTCAAGAGATCGAGACCATCCTGGTCAACATGGTGAAACTCATCTCTACTAAAATACAAAAATTAGCTGGGCATGGTGGCGTGAGCCTGTAGTCCCAGCTACTCAGGAGGCTGAGGCAGGAGAATTGCTTGAACCCGGGAGGCAGAGGTTGCAGTGAGCCGAGATCGTGCCACTGCACTCCAGCCT